GCTCCCAGAATTCCCCAGCCAGCGAATGCTGGCTGGGGAATTCTGGGAGCTGAAGTCCGGACATCTTCAAGTTGCCAAGGTTGAGAAACACTGCCTTAAAGCTTAGAGGAACACAGTTCCAGGTGTTTGGGCATCTGGTTTCTGCCACACCTGGACGTTAGCCGCACATGGGCTGGGTTGGAACATCTGGGCTGTGAAGACGTTTTATTTTGTGTTTTTAATCCACACTGTGTCCTTCCTGGCGTTTCAAGGTTTAGGGAGCCCTTAGAAAAAGTTGCCGAGAGGTTCACCTCTTCTCTTCATGCTAACCCACTTCAGCTGGTTGCAAATGTGGCTTTTTTTAGAGCCTCATTAGAGTCTCTCATTCCAAAATAAGCCTTGAAAGTGTAGGACTCGCAGAGATTCTGCCAGAGAGGGTCAGCCTATTAAAACCCCATCCCTGATAAGTCCTCAAAACTACAATAAATCTCTTGGTCAGCTAAATTTATAGATGTTTTTACTAGGATTACAAGGGTCAGCCTGGGAGATCCCCAGTGGGAGGGAAAAGTCATAAATATCAGCAGAAACTTTTGCAAAGAGGCTGGGAAAAATTAAGAAGGGTGGTGTGTGTGTGTGTTTTGGTTGTTGCAAATATGTTCTCCCTGGCACCCAGCTTCTTCAAGGCTTGTCCCAAACCAGGTTAATCTCTCTTGCTCAGCTGTAAGGCTTGCTGAAATGTTTTTTTTTCTAGTTGACCCAGAAAGATTAGGACCTGGGAATCTGAAATCCAATGTCCCCCGTCAAAGTATTAAAACATTTTTTTTTAAAGACCCAAAGTCTTTCCCCCCCCCTCCCCGCCCATAACAGACTTTTGAAAAGCCCAGAAAACATTTTCAATGGGTTTGAATCTCCCTCCTCTGAAGATCTTGACAAGTGAAGAACTTCCAGATTGAACATACATAAAAATCCACCTTTGTTGGGCTTCATTCACTCATGAAAGTCCTCACCCTCTTTTTTTCCCCTCCACACAAAAGTCTGAATATTTGTTGACCTTAAAGAGGAATAATTTTCAAAAATGTCGTCAGATTCCTTGCAAAGTTGGTTGGGTAATCAGATCTCCTCAAGCAGCTGTAGAATTTGGGAGTTAAGGATTCTCAGAAACCAGATTTAAAAAAAAAAACTTGGACTGAGTGGTGGATCCATTGTACATCATTATCATCGCTTGGGCGGAAATTGTACTTAACAAAAATGAATTCAGGTTGGCCATTCTGAAACTATATACGGCCCCGGGTTCAACTTTCAGAGCTGATACTAACAAAAGTAAATGAACTACTGATTGATATAAGGGACAACTAAACAGAGTTGAGCCAAGGTTGGCTTTAAAAGAAGAACAGGTATGAAATCACCTTTGCCCAAAGACCATCTCATCAGCAGTGGAGAAGGGGAGGGGGAATAAAGGTCTGGATGACTTCATGGTTGACAGAAAGGTTGACCAATCATCTCTGCACACAACCTTGGTCCAGAAAGATTGATATAAATAGAATTAAATGCTCACCAAAAGGGCCCACCTCAAATATTATGTATGTGCAGATATGTTCTCCCTGAAAGTGGGAAAGATCCTGGAGGACGAAACTAGGATGGTTCCTCCAGAAGAATCCTGGAAGCACGTTGAGGTCTTCAACTGGTCTTCTAAAATAAGTTCTACCTTACCTGCTCAATGATATCTGGTTGAGTAGCTACATTGGGGTCACTCAGCTTCCCTCCCACCCACCCCCCAGATGTGTTAAGCGACTCTCATCACCTCCCTGGGCAGGTTGGCAGGGGATGGTGGAAGTCTTGGTCTTCCACACCTGGAGGGCGCAAGACTTGGGCAAGTTGTCATAACTGAAAAAAGTCCATTAAAGCAAAATCACAATAATGTAACACCTTTCAGGTGTTTCTTGGGAGGGTGGGAGGTGGCTAACGTGTCTCCTTTACAGGTAAGGTGAAGATCTGCTTCCCTTCTGTTTGATAAACAGATCCCTGTAGGTTTCATATTATAAGCTGTCCCGTCAGTGATGGGAACTGACCCCATTCAGTTTTGGGGTTCTTCTGTAGGGTCAAGAGTCAGTGGAGCACTGAGCTCTTCCTTCTGCTCCTTCTGGCCTTCTGAGGCAGGTTTCTCGGTGGGTGGGGCTTCCTTGGACTCCTCAGGTGGAGATGGGTGGGTCTCCACCCCAGGTGGGACCTCTTCTTTTCTGGTCTCCGCATCCGCCAAACTGTTTGGAGCTGGTGTCTCTGGAGGCATCTCAGCCTCCGTTGGTGATTTTCCTTCTTCTTCTTCTTCTTCCTCCTCCTCTTTGGAGCTGCTCTCCTCCGCCTCTTCTGTTTTGGGGGCCCCTTCCTCTTTCCCTTCAACTGGTGGGTCTTCTACGGGGCCACTTTTCCCATTCGCCATGACGGCCTTGGTGGGAGACTTGAGGTTCTGGGCAGCAGCTAAGATGTCCGCCTGCAACTGTTTGGTGGAATCTACCGGCTCCTCTTGGCTCTCATCGGAGGGCTTCTCGGGGACTTCGCTGAAGGCCTTGGCCCCCCCCGCCTTGTCGTTCTGGTCCACGTACTTCTTTTTGGGGAAGGAGGCGGGGTAGTAGGCGGAGGCCTTGTGCTTCTGCTGGGTGATGACAGCCGCACAGACGATGGAGAGGAAGATGAGGAGAAGGGAGCCCACCACCACGATCAGGAGCATGTAGGTCTGGAAAAAGTTCACGATGCCGTCCAGGAGGTTGAACGAATGCAAGGTTCCATTGACCGAATCGACCACCAGGCTCCCCAAGGTGGGGGTCACACTCAGCGCCGCCCTGGCAGTAGTGGGGTCGGGGGGAGCCCCCTCGCTGTCTCCGCTCCCCTCGCTCTCTTCCAGGGCCAGGTTCTGAACTGATCTTGAGGCGCAGAAGGGCAGCATCAAGAGAAGGAGCAAGCAGAGGTCACTCATGGCCGCCATGGGAAGGCTCGAAGGGACACACACAAGTTTCTGAGTGGGGAGAATAAGCACAAGGGACACACCTGTTATTCTTCGGAGGGCTTTGAATCAGAGAAACCTTTTTTCTGGAAGGATTTCTCCTTTCCAGAGAGAAAATAAGTTTAGAGCTGACTGCTATCTGCAGTTCGGAGGTTCTAATCTCACTGGCTCAAGGTTGACTCAGCCTTCCATCCTTCCGAGGTGGGTGAAATGAGGACCCAGATTGTTGTTGGGGGGCGATATGCTGACTCTGTAAACCGCTTAGAGAGGGCTGAAAGCCCTAGGAAGCGGTATATAAGTCTAACTGCTATTGCTATTGCTAAATGCAGCACTGCAGGCTACTTCAGCTGACTGTTATCTGCAGTTCAGTGGTTCAAATCTCACCGGCTCAAGGTTGACTCAGCCTTCCATCCTTCCGAGGTGGGTGAAATGAGGACCCAGATTGTTGTTGGGGGGCAATATGCTGACTCTGTAAACCGCTTAGAGAGGGCTGAAAGCCCTAGGAAGCGGTATATAAGTCTAACTGCTATTGCTATTGCTATTGCTAA